GAGAAGAAATGTGACTTGAAATAAAAAACTCACATCATTACTAAATTCACTCTTCCGGAGGTGAAGTTTAAATGATCTTGTCATTGGATTGAAGAATATTATTGGCACCTTGTAGATAGGAATCCCAACTGTTCCATCTATCAGAATGTCATTTAAATATGCTAAGTCCACATTCAAATCAAAGTCAATAAATATATGTGCAATACTGCATCTTTCCTCAATTAAGTATTGATCAAGTTCATTTCTCAGTTCAAAAACATATTTCAAAATATTTCCCTAAGACTGCCATCTTAATTCAAATAAAATATTCATGAAATATGTTCAGCACTCAGGCTTGATTTTTATATAATTCACAGTATAATTGTTTGTAGAATGCTTTCCAATGCTGAACTTAAATCTGAAGAAAGAGCTTGCTTATGAATCATATATTCTACTCGAGACGCTGCTGCGAGAGCCCAGGATGGGTTAGACTCCTCCTGATGACATCATAAAGCTGAGTCTGTCTAATATAAAAGGGGCAGCCTGTGGGAGTCTCCCCAGCTTTGACTCAGCTCCTTTCTATGACAATTGAGCTAGTGTCTCTGAAAGCAGTTTAGTTAGCAAAGCAAAGTCGGACAAGTGATTTAAGCTCATTGGCACAGCTCCCAGGGGCCCAGTGCAGCTGTGCCTTCAGGAGAGCAGGGCTCCGCTCTTCTGCAATGCTGAGGACTCGACATTTCAGTCCACAGGGAGGCTGTAAGTAAGGGAGAAGCCATCGGCCCTCCCCTGAAGCTCTCCCTCTGTGAATTTGGCCACCGCAATCACAAAGCTCGGATTGGCGATAACCACGTCCCACAGCTGATTGCAAAAACGGTTTTCTTCTTATTGCCAATTTCACTGCCCAGGGCTTTTTCCAGCCTAGGGAGCAAGGACCAGCCATTATAGGCTGGAGAATGTGCGAGGGGCCATTTTAAAACTTCTTGATGCACGTGGCAGGTGGCCACATTTACCAATGGCCTGCACCTATCCACTGAAGGACCCAATTAAGGCCCCTATATAGGCAGCACATAGCGGGAGTCGCTCCCAGCACCTCTTGTGCTTGCTTATATCAACTATGGATCAAGACAGGATCCAGGCAGAGATTTTCATGCAGCACTAGGAAATTTTTGGCAGGTCCTCTGTGACAGCCTGATACAGCCAATGTTCTGTCTGTATAACTTAGTATATAACTTAGCTATGGCAATGCAATTCTCCCGTCGACTCCCCGAGAAGAGGCGTATCAGATACGACCAACGCCCCATCTCTCAGAAAATTCTATCAACATTTCTTTTTCTTTTTCTTTTTTTCTTTTAAGGAACCTTCAGTTTAAATTATTCTTGTTATTTCTTCACAGAAGAGAAGTCCTTACTTATTGTATCCTCAATAATCAATCTAGCACATGTTATTAAGTGAACATCCTTGGGTGCGCTTTGTTATTTCATCTATCTGCATGGGAAATAGTTGGTTGCTTATCTTTCCAGTTGATCATTAAGATCCTCTATTATCTTTGTGACTCAGCAGGAAATAGTGTCATGAAATAAAATGACACTCAAAAGTTGTTTTTCACCAGATACGTACAACATAGCTTCAGTGACATCAATAGTTGCTGGAAGAATTTTGTCCAAAATTCTGGTAGGATTTTTGCAGTATGTGATTTTATATGCAACTTGATAAATAGCAAGAAGTGGTTTGAAATGGTGCGTTTAACATTTAACTAGACACAAATTTCGTTTCTTCATTTCATCTCTTCCATTCTTGGAACGAAGAACAAAACACCACAATCTTATGAGGTTTGTTATCTAAGTCTCATGATTTGTTTCTAGAGGTTGGTTTATCATGCTTGACGTCAGATTCCAACTTCATAGCATTTTCTGATAAATACCACAAAATGTCCTTCCACAGTAACAAGGACGCTTGTTAATCCAAAAACGCATATAATTCTCATCGTATTTTCTTGACTTAAGTTCAGTTTTATTAATACTTCTGGTTGCTTGATTATATTCAGGTTTTCTTCTATGCCCTAACCCTTTTTTCTTCATTTTTAAAAGTTAGAAATCTAAAATAATGAATAAGGATATTGAATCTCAACGACACCATCTTTACTTCTACAGCTCTACAAAAAAAATCACTGATATATGCCCCATTGGAAATCACCAACTTACAATGCTATTATAATTGGTCGATGATTTTGATAAGTAGTTAGATGCTCACTGTGTGTTTGTTGCTCACTTTGCTAGATAAGTCGAGGTAAAACAAGAGGTGTTTTGATAATGCTGCTTGCTCCTTTATCCAGGCACTACAGTAAATTCTGGTTGCAATCGGGTTTTGCGAATGCACACCCAAAGCCTTGTCATGACATGCTCTACATAGCCATACAGAATGTAAGGAAATTCTGGTAGCAATCCAAAGAAATATATAACCCTTCTCAAATTTTCTTGTGATCCACAATTTGAGAAATGTTGTAATATATCAATGTACTACTTCATATTACTTGTTCAGCAACCTAAAATATTCAAAACCAAGACCTTAGTGTACAGGCTCCCCCCCACCCTTCCCTTAGAAATATTGTGGACTTATTTATTTTTTGTATTTATGAAGAATCATAGTCAATTAAATCTAAGTAACATCTATGAATTAACAAACAGCTTTCCAGATTAACCTGGTAGATTGTTGTACTGTTTAAATTGTCCTTGAAGCGCTGGGATGCATTTCTTTTCGTACTAGGCTGTTCTCATATACTTTAATTGCTTGGATGGGAATTCTCTGGCTTGGTAATCTGAATTATACCCATGTGGATTATTTAGAACAACACATGATATATTTTCTTATTTTGTTTTAAAAAAAGTAGATTGCATATACTGTGGCATAAAAATTCTCAAATCAGATTCACATATTCAGTACATAAAAAGAATTCTGTTGAGAAGTTTATGACACACATAGTTGTGAAGCATCCACGAAAATCTATTTTTTTAGAATTGAATCAGAGGTTACATGGAAAGACTTTCAAAAGTCTTGTTATTATCAATAGTTCCTTTTTTGCTTTTACGTAATCAATGTTGGGGATTATAAAAACACTGCATTTTTTTTCTCCTGGCCAGCCAAACCCAGAGCATGAGTTCCTCCCCCGCGGTGGTTCCCATGGAATTCGGTGTATGAAAATATGTGCAAAATCATGATTTAGTAGTATATGTGAAAGGGGGAAACCACATTGAACATATTCTGAAAATGTGTCTTTAAAAGAGCTATTTAATTCTTGACCAACATTCACAGTGGAGATGAAAGATAACATCAGTATAAAGAGGCTCTCCATTTGCTGTAGATTTCTAGCTTTCTTCCTTTGGTTGTGAAAAAAAAAATCAACTCCCTGAATTCCTAGCCTTTTCTCTGCTTTCTTCCCACAGAGACAGAAATGATCTTGCTTTTCCTTGTATTCAATTATATTAGAATTATAATATAATTTTGCCTGGTTTGAATGGATCATTTGAAAATTAGCATTAACTTTTCTTCGATTTTACATTCCTCATTCTTAACAAGAAAAAGAAAAAAAACCTGGTGTAAGGCATCCAGAAAGTATCCATGATATCAATCACTCCGAGACATTTCTCTCCAATTGATTTATTTAGAAACAAATCTGACATGTCAAAGGCAATTTCCCAAGTGTTACACAGTTTCCTGTGTTACACAGAATCCACCTTCTCTCCTCCCTTCTCTCCTCCCACTTCTACACTTCATAAATCACGAGAACCAATTAACTGCCACTAGAATTTCTTAATACGACATATAGAATAACCTTGAACTTTTCAACTCCTCCAACTCTCTTTAAAAAAAAAAGTGGCAGCTGAATTTTAAAGCTGACACCTGGATCTACAATTTAATGTCCCAGAAACAAGATAAAATGACTCTTCTTTTCCTCTTGCCGAAGCTCCCTTGAGTTTAATGTCATCAGTCAAGTCTGAGTAGTGGTTGGTATCCTCTTGCTCTTACACTCCAGCAGGTCCTCAGATGGTTCCATCTTTTCTGAGGTTATCTATTTTACAATATCATTTTGTAAATTCTTTCATTTGAAAGAATACCAATGTGCATATAATAGTAATTAAGCAAGTTAATCTCTAGTTTGACCTACCAATTTTGATTGTGAAAAGAAGTGAAGTTGTCATAAAATTATTTACGTTGTATGAAATACATGATTGACTACCTGAAGCTCTTTACTATAGGACAGGTTTTCTCTGTGTTTGTAACTTGAAGATATGTGGACATCAACTCCCAGAATTCCTTAGCCAGAAAGTTGGCTAAGGAATTCTGGGAGTTGAAGTCCACACATTTTAAAGTTGCCGATTCAGGAAATATTGCTCTAGGACACGACTGAATATAGAAGGTGACATATACCTTTGGCTTGCATCTGATTATCATTAGACAAGAAGAAATGATGTCACTTCCTGGGGTTTAAATAGTTTTACCCTTTTGCAATTCATGTTTGTGATGTTTTGATACTTCTTCTTGAGACTTCTTCTATCTGGCAAGCTTTTATATATAGCCATTTCAACTGTGTAGCCTATATCTGCACATTTCTTTCTCTTGAGGGCTTTGCCATCAGTCTTCTGTCTTTTTTCTAGATAGTTCATGAAGGATTTTAATGTTTTAATCCTAATAGTCTAGTTGAGTCTTTTTTTTTTAAAGACGGAAACAAACTGGTTCAGGAAAGACTTGAGACAAGACAGGTATGTGCCAATTACTTCTTTAAAACAAAAACAGTCTTCCAAGTTCCATTTGGAAAGTGCTTTATGTACAGTCTGTCTGAGTGCTAATACAGTCAGACAATATAGTTGTTCTTTTTTATGAATTCCTAGCTGTTTTGTGTTTCTTTGAAATATTATCTTGTTGCAGGGATATATCCACTGCCATAGGTTCAAAATACTCAGATCTTTTTCTTTTCCTCACTATGGATGTTTCATCTAACCTTTATTTTTCTGTTTTTGTTGAAGGTAAAACTGGGTTCACCATCTGACTTTAAACATTAAAAACTTTTGGTGACTAAAAGATGTGCCATGGAATGGTAGGAGCAAAGAGCACCACAACATCGTTGCTTGCCTTGATCAGTCATGGGATATTTTTTCCATTCTTTATCTTCAGTTCCTGTATGGTGGAAGGATTGGACTCATGTAAGTAATATTCTTACTATCTGTTTCGTGCATATTTCTGCCCTTCTCTCAGGGCAACTAATTCAGGGTTCTTGTAGAAAATGTTCATAAACCAAGCCAAACTAAGCCAACATTTAAAGCAGCTATATACTTTAAGCACTATGCGGTGGCTCAGTGGTTAAAATACTGAGCTTTTCAGCTAGAAACCTGGCAGCCCAGATTCAAGATCCCGAGCTCCACGCAATTGGGTGAGCTCCCGTCCTCACCACAGCTCCTGCCAACATAGCAGTTCGAAAGCATACAAATGTAAGTAGATAAATAAATGCTATTTCAGTGGAAGCTAACTGTGCTTCATGATGTCATGTTGGCCACATGACTGCGGAAATGTCTTCAGATAGTGCTGGCTCAATGGCCTTGAAACAGATGAGCACCGCCCTCTATAATCGATAACAACTAGCGGAGTAAAATCCACAGGTATTCCTTTATAGTTCATCTGTGTAAGTAATACCAGTACGTGTGTGTGTGTGTGTGTGTGTGTGTGTGTGTGTGTGTGTGTGTGATATATAAAGGAACATAAAAAATAAAATATATTTATAATGGAAATGAAATTTGGACTTTGAAGAAACAGGATAGAGTATTTTCAACTTTAGGGTTGGAGAAGATGCCTTAGACCAACGTAGATAGCCAAGAAAGAAAGTAAATGGATTATAGAATATAGAATATATATACATATATACAATGTAATGTTCTCATTCAAGGCACACATGATCAAACTTAAATTACCATATTTTGGACACATAATGTGAAAATCCTGTTTCTTTGCGAAGTCCACAATGCTGGGAAAGTTGAAAGGAGGAGGACCAGCAGCAGGGTAGGTGGACTTGATTAGAGCAGTGATAGGTACAGCATTGGAAGATTTGAACCACCTCATTGATGAGAGATCATCCTGGAAAGATCAATCTGTGTGTGGCCAACTGACAATTGTCACTGATTTGTTGGCTCATAATCAAGTGGTTGAAAAGCTTTAAATTAGTTACAATATCTACAATCAAGATTATCCCTTCAAAATAGTATTGATAATAGTCACTCAACCTGAAGACTCATTCAAGCGATCATCAATATAGTTTTCATATTCCTCCTGTCCACAAACTTCATATAAACCTTCCCTGGAAAAACGGTAAACTGGTCTGGGGGCGGGATTTCCTTTTGAGAAAGAAACTTGGTTTTAGGGCACTGAACTTGACACTGGCACTGAGTGTTGTATGGAATAAAACCTGTTGGCAATTAGTTGAGGTTCAGAAAGAAAATGAAAATTCCATGTATATGGACAGTAACCTACAAGAAGAAGAAATGGGCTCTATAATCTAACAGATGAATCAAATTTTGAGTGCCATATAAATATCAATTTTGTTAGTTTTCTTGGGGAAAAAATGCTGTTTTCTTATATAACAATTTATTCTTGTACATTTCACAGTGAAAGCTATTGAATGTGTGAGAGTGGTGTGTTAGATGATAGATGGGTAATTTATTTAATAATATCCTGGTTTTATTTATGTTTCAAATCCTCTTAGGTGAGAATAGTTCAGATACAAACACGAGATCAGGGTGGAACTAGTTAGTATGGATGAGAACTCACAAGTAAATCCCAGGACTATAAAATAAACTGAGTATTCAGGAAAAGCTGCTGGAAATAGACAATGGCAAATGACACAGCTTTTGTTACCAAAAAAAAAAAGGCTATTTGGAGGTACTCATGAAATTTCAAGGAATAAAGGTCAACTCAAATGGGAGATTATTTTAGAGACAACAAGGCTTTGATGAGCTACTTCAGATGAATTTTAATTCTAGGATGAATTAAAAAATGCAAGAGCTTTTGGTAGCTCCTTATTTTGGATGCACTCAGACTTATGAAGAATCCTACCAAAGACTCATTGATTGAAGCACATATTTGGTGGCATAAGAAGTTTGGGAATTTTAGGCATACTTCTCTTTGACTTGTGCAAAGTTCCAGCTTGATTGGAACCCTCCCTATTTATCCAACATGAACATTTTAACATTAGAAGCAGGGTGGAAAGGATGCTTGGCAAGGGTGTTCTCTTATGTTTATGTAATGGTATATCTGTTGTACTTGTATTCAGAGATTTATCCATATGTTGATGTCCATGAACAGTAAAGAAAAACTCATTCCTTACATATAATTGTGGCTCCTGAAATGGTCACTATGGTATGCACAGCATCACAGACCTTATACCAGTTATTTCTGTTTCTATGGCCATGGAAAATAATTATTGGCCATCTTCCCTTTGGCTTCCCTTCATATACTCCAACCTGACAACCATGTCTACTCTCAGTCTTCTTTTCTTCAAACTGAACATTCTGCATTCCTTCAGCAGACTGTAATGGGCAGAAGAAATAATCTTGATAGGCAGGAGGAAGTGCTGCAACCAAGATAACAGTCAGATAAAAGAAATCTGAGTCTGGGGCAGAAATGTATTGTGAGAAAGCATCTCAGACTGGGGTCTCTTTAGTTTTCAGGAAGATAACGGGAAGGAGGAGAGAAGCATATTCACATTCTTATTATTATTACCTTTAGTGTCAGAATACAACATGTGTACAATGAGATTGGCTGAGCCTGCCTTCGTGCACCCCACCACCACCAACACAACTCACAGTGAGGACAGAAACCCAGTCCCAATCTTATGTGATGTTGTTGCACAATGCGGCTACCCTGCAAGTCTATCATACTAAAACTAATATTAAGATTCATAACTTTGATTTCCTAGTTTGGTCTACCTTGAAAGGCTGACACTGATTCACCCATAACTGCATCTACAATCCTCTTGTCAGAAAGTTCTATTTAAGGTTCATGTAGTTTTTCAAAGGCTGCTTAGACATTTTTAGACACTTGAGAGTACAAACAAGAACTGTGCCTGGGAGCATGTGCTCTGGAGGCCTAGTTCCAGCCAAAAAGTCACCAGCAGTGTAAAAGATTCTGACAGGGAGTTCTCATAAGATAGCCACTCAAGCTGCAAGCATGTAATGTGCTCTTCTGTATATAGTCAAATAGGATCTTAATTATAGAAGTGATGTGTAAACAAAACTAATTAGCTGATTACTGTCTGCATGTCCACCTAACTGACTGAACATTGCTTAGCCTTCTGATTATTGCAGTTTGTTTGATGAGAACAACAATTCTGTAATGTCAGCTTGAAAGATATTTATTTATATCCATCTTCCCTGTATTGCTGTGGCTTTGGGTAAAATGATCTTTTCTAAGACATCTTTTCACTGTAGCTAGGATATAGCTGTGGAATGGAAACACTGAAACATCCACCTACTGAATGCAGAAGCTTAAACCAGCAATTTATTCTGCCAATTAATATGTTTTTCCACCTGTTCAAGTGTTAGCTATTTCCACTCAAACAAAGGCTCTGTATGAGGTTCTGTGTGTGTGGTCTGCACGTAGCCTTCTTCAAATTCCTAAAAATTAGAGGTGGAGAAAAGGAGTGTTTAAAAGAAAATAAACATTTCAAGTCTTCATGAGATCCTCTTTAATATACAACATTTTCGAATATGAACATTGCATTAACATTCTATCCATGGAAATGTTGATTGGGGTGGGCATTAGGAAAAGTTCTGTACCTTGCTGTGAATGGATATAAAGGTACCAATGATGAAACATGCTTTCTGATTTTATTGTTTACATGTTTGCTTGATTGACTTTTCTTCCAAGAGTTCCCAGCATCTTGGATGAGGATCTCCATTTTATTCCAATAATATCATCTCATTCCATCTCAATACCATAAGTTGGGGCCCAAATCACCAATTAGGTTCCTATGGATGAGACTGGCCTAAAACCTTGGTCTCCCTGTTCCAACATGCTTAATCACAACACCACACTGGCCCTCACTGCTTTCGAGAATGATCAGTTAAAGATTTGTAATGCAAGGTTTATTAAGTGTTCTAGGCATATCCATGACTCCTGCAAAGAGAACAGATTTTTTTTTTTAAATGTGAAATGTTTTGTCATGAATATAAAGTGAGTAAATACTGGGAGAAGCATTTTTTACATTTGCATGGGAGTATTTGTCAAATGTTGAAGAGTGAAAATCGCTATAAATGGTTAAATATCCTTCAAAAAAGTTTTAAAAAATGTGATAGCTACTGTAACTAGAAAAACATTTAAGATATGGATAAGGTTTGTTTATGAAATGACCAAGCAAGTTGCTTAACTGTGCATGAGATTACATCCATACCCTATGATTAGGAGAACGTTTTTTTATTGTTTATTGTTCCCCTGTAGAAAGAAAAAAGTAGCAAAAGTGATGCAAGAACTGTAGAGGCCTTGTTTTGTTAAACGGCACTTGGCCAAAAATATTTGGCAGTTTTCTGATTAAAATAATAATCAGAAAAATGACCTGAGCTAAATTAAAAAGTAAAATGTAACTTTATGCTGGGCAGAAGGTATACAAACCAAAGTTTTGCTATTCAGTAGAGCCTTGAAAAAAATGTAAGAATCGGGGGGGGACGGCGACGGGACTTATTGTATATTTGTTTAGAGAAAATGTATGATAATCTTAATATGATTGTGGCATTTTATATGACTGTCATTGAAAATTGCTGCTAAATGTTGTAAAAGCAGCAAATGAGGGAAGAAGAGCATGTGTGAGAAGAAATGGAATACTTCAACAATTAGCAAAAACTAAGAGAAAGATGTAATTGTTTAATAGAGATAGTCCTTGCTTAACAAGGAACCAGAATTTCCATCGCTAAGCAGAGCAGTTATTAGGTGAAACATCCCATGATTACACACCACTTAGTGATAGCAATTCTGGTAATACAGAACTATTGCTAATCAAGGACCTTATTCTTCTGCTCTGTCATTCTTGTCTTCACTTCAACTCCTCCACCTATTCCCCCTCCCAGCTCTTTCCTTCTGGCCAGCCTGCACTCAGCTGCCCTTGCCACCACTGCTTCTCTCAGCTGACTTTTGCCTTCTGCTGCTGCTGAAGAGGCATGTC